AAGAGGGCATTAGATGACTGTTGGACTTCTACCTTCCTGAAGCAGTTTGATGGTAACTACCTATTAGTCCTGTGCGCCATTCCGCAGGACGTGATACCGCACCTTACTTTCTGCCTTTCAGAAAGAAACCTATTGACTCNAAGAACAGCCAAAAACACATCAATCTGGACACAAGATTGGCCCGGGCCACACATCGTCCTGTGCAAACTGAACTGAACTGAACTGAAAGTGAACCGATTGATCATTCCAACACCTCAAGCTGACCGTCATCCAGAAACCTGAAGAGAAGGATCAAAAACTTCTCTTGCAGTCGAAGCACAGTGGGATCGCATCAGAGCTCACAAGTGCAAGGAACTGGACGCATTGGTAAGAGCCACAAGTCCTGTGTACCCGACCGACCGACCACATCCCGGACGCTGTCATCAGTTGTTGATTTTGTCCATTCTCCGTCTTGTGGCGAATGCAGTCGCCAACGATGAGCATCAGACGTTCCTCGTTGTATTTCTTACCCATCGCCAAAAACCTCATCCCCAGTATTTTTTCGCGCTGCGCGTCGGTTTCGAAACCCCGGAAACCTGTGACACCGACAGGTATATCTTAGTATATCCAGTCATCTTTTAAAAATGTTATATTAGGAAAACTGGATGACGTTATTACGACGGATAGGGAAATCCGGCAGCCTGTTTCATCTTCCGACGAAGTTTTCAAACCGTTCCCTAATAATGTAAATCCGGAAACCGGTGAGATTGATGGCCCTACCGGGCCTGAGCCCACAAGATACGGAGACTGGGAACGAAAAGGCCGTTGTTCTGACTTCTGATTATTTTGTTTTATCACAAGACCTTATTTACCGTTCGAATTGTAGATATTATTCCTTGAATAAACTATTTTGATTTCCGTCGCAATTGCGACACATCTGTCGCAAGGCCTTTACGGTATTGCGGAAGTGATAAAATTGGGATTCGTCTATCGTGGTGGCCTTAGTGCGTTCGTGAAATAGAGTCCAAGCGTGGTTTAAAAAAGATATTTTACGATTTTCATAATGGGATGCGAGCGTAATTGCGGTGGGGTCTAAGAAATTATGGGTAAATGGGACTAATTTGCGATTGTTAGTGGCCAGTTTTTCGAGTGTCTCCCTGGGTGTTTCAAAAGGGACGCCCGAAGGGGATACTTAGGGGACTCCCCTTGCTATACCCACGGAGCTTTTCATGATTCGTTCCAGCCGTCTCTCTGAGTACGCAGTTTATTATTCAAATGGATAATATCTTCATTTCGTCCCAATGTTTTGGCAAGGTAGTTTCGCTTTTATAACTGCTTACTTGGCTTGCGAATGACCACCGGATTACTTCCTTCATAAAAGCTTCATTTTTATCCACCATTGCCCATGTATTATTCAGCTCGGTCTATCCAGGTACCGACAGTTTCTTATTGCCGCCTGAATCGAAACAAGGGGATTTCGAAGGACACTTGGAAAAACCTCTTGTGCATCATAATTAGGATTCACCTCTTTTGTTACTCAAGTAAGACAGTCGGGTATCCTGTGAGCCTCGTATGATTTCCAATAACCAAAATGGGATTTCAGTAGATTTAAGGTAAGACTTTTTAGCTTACATGCACCGTTAATCGTTTTCTCTCATTGAGTAGTAGACGGTTCTGCCGTCGTCCGGGTTAGTACCACCGCCTAGCCATCGGGGCTTTATGTGGTTCGCCACTCTAAGTTCCATGGCCGGGGTTCCGGTTACTCTCTCATCTACTACAACAAACGGGCACAATTCTCAAGCGCACTCTCAATCGACAATAGCACTCACTAACATTCGCTGCTTAAATCATATTTATTCTGTACATCAATTTCTTCAGTCAACTTCTCCTCTTGCTCTATTTTTATTCGAAACGCAACTTTTCGCTTCTACAGACACCACGCATCTTCAGTTTCGCAATTATTTCCTTTACACTTCGTTCATTCCCAAAGCCTGTGTTTGTGCTTTCATCCATCATCTAATTGTTTCTACTCCGTTCTCCCGCTTAAATCTCACCAACTGCAAGTTCCAGACTCTGTGACTGAAACTTCGGTTCCTTTCTTTCAATCACTACTTCTGCACTTTTCCCCAAATAGCAGTGACCCTTCACTCTTTGATGTTTTATCGACAAACATAGATAGCATTGTTGAAACAGACCCCAACGCTGAGTTCACAATTTTGGGTGATTTTAATGTCCATAACAGGGATTGGCTGTTACACTCTTCAGGGACATCGCCCCTTTGGAAGTGAAGCAGAATCATTTGCCCTATTGAACAGCCTCCACCAACTGGTTGATTTCCCGACCCGAATCCCTGACCGCGCTGGCGACCACGCTCATAACCTCGATCTTGTCTTCACATCCAGCCCACAAGTATTTTCAAATGTTGCTGCTATTCCTTTTCTAGGCTCATCGGACCATTGTCTTATTTCACGCCCTACCCAAATTATTCGTTCAGATGTTCCTCCCAATTCTAGACGCACATTTTGGCGAGATAGTTCTGCTGATTGGTGCAGCTTTCGTATCTTTCTGACTTCCTACTCCTGGAATGAATATTGCTTTTCCACCGATGTCTCCATCTCTGCTTCGAATTTCTCCAAAGTTCTTTTGCAGGGCATGCACCTATTTATTCCTCATTTCACCAAACCCGACAAGCTTCTTTCTAGAATGGTTCAACTACGCCTGTTGTCGCGCTGTTTGTAAAAAGAAGTCAGCGTTCCGCCGCTGGCGTCGATCACCTTCCCCATCTCCCGCTGATGGTTCTTGTTAGCACATAAGAAATGTACAACCATCACACAAAAGGCTAAAGAGCACTTTGTTGAGCGTAAAACAGCAAAATTGGCGACCGCTCCTTCCGGAAGCCGGACGTTCTAGTCACTCGCTAAGGCAGTCTCCCATAACTTCTCCACTAACTTCCCACCCATCGTTAAACCTTCCGGTGCCTTAGCATCCGACCCGCTGGAAAAAGCAGAAGTGTTTGCTTCCAATTCTACCCTTTTTCGAATCACCCATCAAACCCTGCACACACCCTACGGCAAACCATCTTTTCACACCGTTCACTTCCACCAGATAAATAAGTCAGATCCTCTTGTCGCTGGACCCGACGGGATTCCTCCCATTGTCCTCAAAATCTGCGCCCTAGAACTGGCTTCCCTCCTACGTCCGTTATTCCGTCTATCTCTAAATTCCGAAACATTCCCGATCCCATGGAAAATACCAGAAATACTTCCAATCCCCAAAAGCGGCGACCACTCTGACCCAAACAACTACCGCCCCATTTCTCTCACATCAGTCATTTCGAAGGTTATGGAATCAATTGTTGCTGATCAACTCCGCCACCACCTGGAGCAGAACAATATGCTTAGTGACGGCCACTACGGTTTCCGATCATATCGATCTACCGGTGATCTTCTGGCGCTCATTTCGCATACATGGCCAGCGGCACTCGACAACCACGGGGAAACCCATGCGGTGTCATTAGATATATCGGGTCTGGGACGCCAGTTTACTGGTTAAACTACCCAAGTTTGGCTTTCCTTCGGAACTTGTCCTGGACAGCAAGCTGCCTCAAGGACCGTAGCATCTTCATCAGAGTAGATGGGACCATGTCTCGTTCTGTGTCTGTGAATGCTGGTGTTCCCCAAGGTTCTGTACTTTACCCTTCCGTTTTTCTGATGTTTATTGATGACCTTTCTTCAACTTAAAATCCTATTCACGCCTTTGCCGATGACGCTACTCTACTCTTCTCTGTCATATTCCTTTTCGCGCGCCGCTAACTCCAGCATTAGTGATGGTCACTCCTTCCTTAATTCTGATCTGGGCCTTATCTCTGCTTGGGGCTGTAGCAACCGTGTTCTGTTCAATGCCAGTAAAATTTCCCTTATGTCCATTTCTATTAAACACACATCCTTCTCCCCTTCCTTGAATTTTAACTTGAACACTCCGTTCCACAGAATCATGCAACCTATTGGGTCTTTCCCTATCTTCTTCTCTTTCATGGTCACCTTACATTTATCCACCTGTTTCCCGCGTGGCGCCCAAAATTGGTTTCCTCTTCCGCGTCAGACGTTTCTTCACCCCCATTCACCTCCTCTCGCTTGACAAAGCTCAAATTCGCCCTACACTTGAATACTGCAGAGCTTCGTCTACCTCACTATATTTTCTCGATCGGGTTAAACCTAAGACCATCCGTCTCATCAACGACCCATCCCTAACATCCAGTTTACAGTCACTCACTCACCGTCAGGCAGTCGCTTTTTTATCCTTGTTCTATCGATACTACTTTGGATTTTGCTCTGATGAACTCTCCGCATCTGTCCCTCTCCCACTTGTTCTTCCTCGTAGATCCCGCGCACAAGCGGCAAGCCACTCATTTCAAGTGGCTATCCCCAGGTGTCGCATTTCTAACTTTCAATCATTTTTTCCCCAGAACGGCACAACTGTGGAACACTCTCCCCCATTCGGTCTTCCCTCCAACGTACAATAACCATGTTTTTAAACGCAGAATCAGCAAGCTGGTTCTAGCTTGAATGTTCCTCATACTTCCCCGGTTACAGTTTATCTTCGGACCATGGGGTTTACCCCTTTTACTGTTTTTACTTTAGTGTAATAAAAAACTCGTATCTATGGTGCATCAAAGTCACACTATGTACATACTCCCACTACTTTCATACGCAATTAGTTCTAACTAATTCCCCAATCTCTTGATTCTGTGTACTATTTAAAACCGTTTCAGGTACCTCAAAGTCTACTGAGCAGTACTGACTGTAACAGCCACAAATTTGTGAACAGCAATGCGTAGTTGGCGTACTGGAAGCTGTGTCCGTAAATAACTTTAAATTTTAATGCCATTCGATGCTTTGTAATGAGTGAAGAAAACGGAATAGTTGTTCAATGTCTATAGATAGGCAGTCTCAACATATCCTCCCCATCGATTTCTTTTTGACATTGTTACCGGTTGTCTTCATGGTTCTGTCGAGAAGCACAGCCCCAGATTTCCGATATCTTTCGCCGAAAAACCTTGATTGCCATTTTTAGCAGTTTTTATTTACATTCTGTACAAAAGTGGCTCGTTGAAAGCTAGAAGATAAAGCTAGTAGATTGAACGGAATTGGGGAGCAGAGTTCTCTTCTCATGGTTCTCAGTGAAGTTGTACATGAAAGTAAAGTTGGGAGGACAAGTTATGAGGATTGACTTTGACAAGAAGCCACAATGTTTGGCTACCGGTGGAGGACGATGCCAGATGCTCAGCTTGGTACTGAATAAAGCGTTTCGAAAAGGTGGCTGGATGTTGGTTTGGATGAGAGAGAGAGAGAGACGCCAATGACCGTACACAGTTTTTCATTAGTATAGCATGGTTGGAGCACTCAGGGGATCGTGGTTTGTTGGGTTTAGGGAAATGTGGAATATAAAAAGTGCACACTTAAAACATTCCTAGCGGGTTTCGAAACAGAAGCGGAAATATCATACGGCGATAGTCATTCCGAGGATAACAAGTCAGAAACTCGAAAATCGTTCTGGTTGACTGTGTTGGGCCTTCAAAAGGTTGGTTCTGAGTTAGGTGGTTTAGCTAGCTTCGATATGTTTTGCACCTTCAAAGTGCAAATGCTTTCACTAAGTTAATCTGGTTCAACTCTCACTCGAGCACGGATTAATAAGAATCGCAACCTAGTCAGCTAAATCTCGCCTTTCGGAAACATAAAAAATCACACTTTGACAATCATGCAGGAGGTTGGGTTTTCGTTTTCCAACTTTCTACATCTATGGCACTACCGCAATATTCGTTGCAGCTACCTTGTCGGCCCTTCTGTATGGCCGTTATGGAAACAGGACAAAGAAAAATTATAAGTTTCGTAATAATGCTGTCTACACTGCATTC